AGAGTGAGTCCTACTGGTCCACATTCCACTGCAGAGAACATACTTCTTCCCAGCCAGCCCTCCTAAGGGCTCCCTCGCCCTCTGGTAGCTGGCTCTGGGTTTCTCCCTCAGGCTGGAAAACAGCAGGGGACCCGGCAGGGCAAGGCTGTTTGTGGCACAGGGCCCAGAGAGGATGTGCTAGCCACTTCACAACAGTCAGGACCATAAGGCTCTTAGCTAGGGCTGCCAAGTGTCTGTCAGGTTATGAACCAGACAGTCCAGTATTTGAGCTTTCTGTTTGGGAAACAAATTGAGAAAATAGAACTGTCCGGTATTTTCTAAATAAGATGTAATGTAGATTGTGTCCGGTATTTTTGTTGAAACCATCTGGCAACCCTACTCTCAGCCGGTCAAGCAGGTGAATCCCTGGGTGTCCTACTATTTGGAATGCCAGGGGCGGAGGAGGGACTTATTTGGAGATGGGGAGAAGGACGGTGCTGAAAAAGGGACTATAGCAGGGCCGTTGCGCAGCAAGAGGCAGATGAAAGGAGACTGAAGCAGAAATCTCAGTTCACGGCACTCCAGGGCTGAGGACTCTCATTCTAAGGGTTAACCAGCCATATACTCACCATGGTTTAATTAACCCCACAGTTGGAACTCTGTTGTTATGGGTTCTAAGCAAACATGGCTCTGGGGCAAGACTTGCAGTGCCTAGTTCTCAATGGGGACTGCAGTTTACAGACACCAAAACTACAAGGAACACCAGATGTTTCCTTTTATACACACAAGCAGCTCGTACGCACAGCTGTAATCCTTGCTGCAAAGTCACTGCTCTTCCTAGTGTCCTTCCCAGCAGCACAGACATCAATAACACATTGGGGGAAGCCAGAACTATTCCACTGTATCTGCCCCCAGCATGTTCAACCAAACAGCAGGAAATGTGGCTCCAGAAATGCATGAACTGGAACAGCTCCCTTGATAATATCTCAACATGAAAGAGCCCCACTAAGTCTCTGGCATGTTGTAGGGAGAGCTAAGAATGGAGTGGAACTGTGTATTTCTGAATGGGAGTATAGCTGAGTTTCACATATTTGCAGTGACATAAGAGTTCTATTATTATACCATAGTATAGCTCAAAAAACAAACCCCAAGGAGACTTCTGGACTCCTCATGTTATGTCATGCTGGCATACATAAGAGCTAATCACAGTAGAGCCAGAGGGACTAAGCAGGTCAGCTGTGGGTTTATGAATTTTAGATCATATTGATGCTAGCTGATAGGCAGCATGAAGAAAGTTTTGAGAGAGAGAGCTGCTGGTTCTAGGGGAATAAGCGCAGACCTGGAAATACAGGAAATCCATAGTTTTACTCTCAATCCTACATCAACTCCTTCTCAGATCATGGCAAATCAATTGATCTGTGTGCCAAAAGAAAGATGCCACTGACCAGTTACCTACTGCACAGTGAAGTTGTGAGAATTACTTAAGAACATAAGAATGGCCATACTGGGTCAGACCAAACGTCCATCTCAGCCCAGTGTCCTGTCTGCTGACAGTGGCCAACGCCAGGTGTACCAGAGAGAGTGAATCGAACAGGTAATGATCATGCGATCGCTCTCCAGCCATCCAGCTACACCCTCTGACAAACAGAGGCTGGGGACACCATTCCTCACCCAGACTGACTAATAGCCATTAATGGACTTAACCTCCATGAATTTATCTAGTTCTCATTTAAACCCTGTTATAGTCCTAGCCTTCACAACCTCCTCAGGCAAGGAGTTCCACAGATTGACTATGTGCTGTGTGAAGAACTTCCTTTTATTTGTCTTAAACCTGAGGCCCATTAGTTTCATTTGGTGGCCCCTTGTTCTTATATTATGGGAACAAGTAAATAATTTTTCCTTATTCACTTTCTCCACACCACTCATGATTTTATAGACCTCTATCATATCCCCCTTAGTCTCCTCTTTTCCAAACTGAAAAGTCCCAATCTCTTTAATCTCTCCTCTTATGGGACCCGTTCCAAACCCCTCATCATTTCAGTTGCCTTTCTCTGAACCTTTTCTAATGCCAGTATATCTTTTTTGAGATGAGGAGACAACAACTGTACGCAGTATTCCAGATGTGGGCGTACCATGGATTTATATAAGGGCAATAAGATATTCTCCGTCTTATTCTCTATCCCTTTTTTAATGATTCCTAACATCCTGTTTGCTTTTCTGACTGCCACGGCACACTGCGTGGACGTCTTCAGAGAACTATCCACGATGACTCCAAGATCTCTTTCCTGATTAGTTGTAGCTAAATTAGCCCCCATCATAAGATATGTATATTTGGGGTTATTTTTTCCAATGTTCCTTTAAAACTCTTTATAAGGAAACACTCAGTAAAAGCGCTAAGTGTCAATCTGCTCTTTTGGGCAAGTGTATCACAGATCGACAGTCCTGAAAATGGAGAGTCTCTGGCTAGCCACAAAATGGGCAAAGCCCAGTCCATAGTGAAGCCAACTTCTCCACTAACTGGCCTCAAAAGTTATGCCTGGAGAGACCTCTGCTAAGGGTATGTCTACACTATTCACTGGATCAACAGGTAGCAATCAAGCCAGCACAGATCAATTTATCATGTCTTGATGAGAGTGCATCTGCCACTGACTCACCACAGCAAAGACACGGTATTAACGGTATCGACTTCAGCTAGGTTATTCACACAGCTGAAGTTGCATAACTTAGATCGATTGCCCGCAGCAGTATAGACTGGGCCTATACTGAGACTTCAATTTTCATAACCAAGCACTCCCAGAGATTGGTGTGCAGAGGACTCTTTCACAAAGCTCATATGGAGTAATTCATTATTTAACATTTTCCCAACAAGGGCAATCAACAGAGGCATCAGCCTGTCCCAAGGCTGATGGTCAGTGTTCCCCTTAAGCTGTGAGCTTGTGCAGCCACTCAGGAGAGATTCAAATGCCACCCAACTGATTAGCACAGCACCCAGAGCTAGGTTTTGGTTTCTACAGGCTGTGCACATTCGCACATGCCTTGGTGCGCATAACATTTATTCCGCACATAAACGGAAAAAATCTGCACATGGATGGAAAAGCTTAGCAGGAACACTGCTGATGGTGATTTCTGCATTGCAGAAATCTGCGCACTCGACAGTGGTCTGACATCACTAATTCACTGCACACTGACCAGCAACTAGGGGAGTGACTTTTATTTGCTACAAACCCATTCCAAATTTGAATCAGTGACCTAGAGATGAAAGGCTCCACATCCCGCCTACTATCAGTATTTTAAGATGGCATCTGCCTTGGATTGTACCTTTAGTGATATAGCAGTGATTTAGGAAAATATGCAGTTACATAGTTTAAGCCTGGTATCAAAAGAGGTATTTTAAAGCAATTTAAAAATATAACAGGCTTTTACATGTCTCAGACATCTGATAAAGAAAAAAGGTAAAAGGAACTAACTGACTCCAACATGAAATTCAGAGCTGGACCTGCCACACTTCCTTCAGTTCACCTTGTTTAATCTACCACAGACTATAAGATTCTCTCTGGATATCGTATTCAGAGACACATGGGAGAGTTACAGACTAAAAGATTCAATATTCACCTTCATAGAATCATAGAATCATAGAACTGGAAGAGACCTCAGAAGGTTATCAAGTCCAGCCCCCTGCTCTAGGCAGGACCGATTCCAACTAAATCAACCCGGCCAGGGCTTTGTCAAGCCGAGACTCAAACACCTCTAGGGATGGAGACTCCACTACTTCCCTAGGTAACCCATTCCAGTGCTTCACCACCCTCCTAGTGAAATAGTTTTTCCTAATATCCAACCTGGACCTCTCCCACCGCAACTTGAGACCATTGTTCCTTGTTCTGCCATCTGTCACTACTGAGAACAGCCTCTCTCCATCCTCTTTGGAACCTCCCTTCAGGAAGTTGAAGGCTGCTATCAAATCCCCCCTCACTCTTCGCTTCTGCAGACTAAACAGACCCAACTCCCTCAGCCTCTCCTCATAAGTCATATGCTCCAGCCCCCTAATCATTTTGGTTGCCCTCCGCTGGACCCTCTCCAATGCGTCCACATCTTTTTTGTAGTGGGGGGACCAGAACTGGACACAATACTCCAGATGCGGCCTCACCAAAGCCGAATAAAGGGGAATGATGACATCTCTGGATCTGCTGGCAATGCTCCTCTTAATGCATCCTAATATGCCATTAGACTTCTTGGCTACAAGGGCCCACAGTTGACTCATATCTAGCTTCTCATCCACTGTAACCCCCAGGTCCTTTTCTGCAGAACTACTACTTAACCGGTTGGTCCCCAGCTTGTAACAATGCTTGGGATTCTTCCGTCCCAAGTGCAGGACTCTACACTTGTCCTTGTTGAACCTCATCAGAGTTCTTGTGGCCCAATCCTCCAATTTGTCTAAGTCATTCTGTACCCTATCTCTGCCCTTAAGCGTATCTACCTCTCCCCCCAGCTTAGTGTCATCCGCAAACTTGCTGAGGGTTGGCGACTGGAGCGGTGTGTGGCCAGCACTCCTCCAAGGCCACCCTGCTGCGACACCCTCTCGCACTAACTAGAGGGCGCACTTTTCTCCCTGGTGCCGAGGGAAGGCAGCGAGGCAGCCCCGGAACCGTGATGTCATGATGCCTCAGCCAATCATGGCGGGGCTGCGAGCATGACTTGCCCCACGCACCCCGCCTGCTGAGGGTGGCTGGCTGCTGGCCCATCACGTGCTCCACCGCCCCTCCCATTGCCTTGGGCGGTGACAGGGAGGCCCGCGTCAGGCGGTAAGGGTTAGGAGTTCTCTGGCCAGTGTCTCTTGGGGCGGCCAGAATGCCGCCCCTGGCAATGTGTCACCCCAAGCACGTGCTTGGTTTGCTGGTGCCTAAAGCCAGCACTCCGTGGGCGCACATAAGTGCCCGGCAGGCGCCATGGTGCCCGCGGCCACCACATTGGGGACCACTGCTCTACTGGATGGCTTCTGAACTACTCAATTGTGTGTCACAGACCTTATAAAGTTACAGCTAATTGTAACTGTCCTTCACTCAAGTGGTAGGAATCTGTATTTTCAGAGCAGGAGGTGAATTCTAGTCTTGCTGCCTTCGTGAAATTCTATATGGCTTTGGTAACAATCCGGAAATCCTTTGTGGGTTCAGCATGCTATATTCCAAATGTCTTGATCTAGAATGTCTGGAAATTGTCACCACAGACAGGATGGGAAAAGTGTAAAACAGAAATTCAAATGGGAAAATGAAGCTGGAGGTCCAAAAAAGGCTATTGTCTCTTTCGGAGAAAGAACTCGCTGCAACCAGTCAGCAGGCACTTACCTATAAATGAAATCTGATTGATAAACACTCTTCCTGACCAATGGTATTGATTTTGAAAGAGATAAATAGAAATGTCATCGCATGGATTTTTTGCCAATATGAGACAGGATTTATCATATAAACAAGTAAACAGTACTGTAGAGCTAAGGCCAAAATAGCTTCAGTACCTTAAGTTGGGGTGTGAGCTCCATAATTTAAGCAACTGACTTTCAGAAGTTCTGAACACTCAACTTCCAGTGAGGTGAAAGGAAGTGGAGCTATTCAGCAATTGTGAAAATAAGATTTAATCATTCAGACTTGAAAATATTGGCACAATTCTACCCAGCAGCTTCAAAAATGTGTAAATTAATCCTTGATGACATGCAGCAGCAGCAGCAAATCTGACACTTTATTTTTAAACATCTTGTTATTTATAAAACAGTCTCAAACCTTTTTTTGCTGTGCTTCCAGTTCTGTCAAAGTGCATCATTCTGAGGGTTGTGGAGGGAAATCAGATGTTTCCCTATATAGATACCTTTTAAAAGGCAAACAAAGAAAAGTCCCCACAGGATAATAATTATGGGATTTATCTGCCCAGACACTGGGATTACCCTTTATCAACCAGAAATGCCTCAAGAACAAGGGGCCATATTTTTCAGATATTCCAGCCCATCCTCTACTCATTCATTTTTTATATTGTGCTATATTGAGAGGAGTACTTCAGCAACAGCCAAAGCATCCATATGGAGAGAAGGAAGCAGAAAACTGCTTGGCAATTTTCTGTGATTGCCCCAGTTAAGAAAGGCAGCAGTGTGGCCTACTAGTTACTATGCTGTCTTTGGCAAGTCATTTCACCTCTCTGTCTTGTTTTCTCTTCCTGTGAGCCAGGGGTTATCCTACTACCACGCTTTCCATGGGATTGTGAACAGTGTTCCCTATAAGCTGTGCACTTGCACGACCGCTCAGGAGAAACTCCAATGCCGCCCAGCGGATTAGCAGAGCACCCACAATGCCCAGAGTTGGCAGCACATGTTTCTCCTGATGGAGTACATTCGCACTGGCTTCAATGGACATAATAAAATTTACTCTGCACATGGCTGGAAAAAATCCACACATGGATGGAAAAGATTAGAGGGAACACTGATTGTGAGGTATCAAATAATTTCCAAAAGCACTCTGAGAGCCTTGGATGAAACCTGCCATGTAAACACTAAGTATACTTATTATTACTGAATTAACATACAAATCCATCCATCCACACACTTACATGGTCCTCATCGTCAAAGCATCTCCCAACATTAATAAAAAAAAATTATATAGGTCCCCTCCAATCTTCCCCCTGAAATGTATTACTCACAGCCCACGCTTTTATTGAGCAACCACATGCAGATCTTGCTAAATAAAACACAGCAAACTCTAAGTCAGTTTATGATGCTCAGCTGATCAAATAAATATCTAAACAGGCAAATCTGAAGAACACAGAAATGACAACCGTATCAAACCAATCAGCAACAGCACTGCTTGCTCCATCCAAATTCCATTCCGACTGTGTTAGTACAATTCAACTTATTTCTTTAGGAGTCTTGCTATGGACTTGAACCTGGTCCCAGAAAACAAAGCCTGAAGTTTTATCCACAAGAAAAAACCTCTTCTAGGTTTAAAAAAAAATAACACTCACTGCTGACTGGTCAGATGTTTGGGAGCTTACCACAAGCACACGCCTTCTGAAATGTAACCCTGTCAGTGCCATAAAACAGCGGCATACATTGTAGCAATGGAAAAATGACAAGCAACAGGTGGCCGCTGTTATACCTTACCTTGGGCTTCCTCCATCATCAGAAACTGAGCAAAAGACAGTACTAACTATGCTGGTGAGGCTGTTCAGCACACAAACACACAGGCTGCACACCAGACACAATGGTGTGACCTTGTAACACACACACAGGCTGCACACCACACACAATGGTGTGACCTTGCAACACACACACAGGCTGCACACCACACACAATGGTGTGACCTTGCAACACACACACAGGCTGCACACCACACACAATGGTGTGACCTTGCAACACACACACAGGCTGCACACCACACACAATGGTGTGACCTTGCAACACACACACAGGCTGCACACCACACACAATGGTGTGACCTTGCAACACACACACAGGCTGCACACCAGACACAATGGTGTGACCTTGCAACACACATACAGGCTGCACACCACACACAGTAGTGTGGCTGTGCAGAGCGCGCACACGGACACACACACAAAGGTATGTGCACAGTCTGCAGGGTTCCCTCTAAGTTTTCCAATTCTCAGCGGAACTTCAATCTCTGCTGGGCAGCTGCTCCAGTACCCAGCTCACAGGAAACACTGAGAGACTGCATATGACACACTGACGTGGCTGTGCAATAAACACACACACACACACACACACACACACGGGCTGCACACCACACAGAGTGATGTGTCTCTGCCGTACGCGCGCGCGCACACACAGAGTGATGAGGTTGTGCAGTGCACACACACACACGAGGCTGTACAATGCACGCGCACGCACACACACACACAAGGCTCTATAGTGCACGCGCACACACACACACACACACACAGTGTGATGTGGTTGTGCAGTGCGCACGCACACACACAAACACACACACACAGACTAATGTGGTTGTGCAGTTCGTACACACACACAGAGTGATGTGGCTGTGCAGGGCACACACACACACACAGTGATGTGGCTGTGCAGTGCACACGCACACACACACACAGTGATGTGGCTATGCAGTGCACATGCACACACACACACAGTGATGTGGCTATGCAGTGCACATGCACACACACACACAGTGATGTGGCTGTGCAGTGCGCACGCACACACACAAACACACACACACAGACTAATGTGGTTGTGCAGTTCGTACACACACACAGAGTGATGTGGCTGTGCAGGGCACACACACACACACAGTGATGTGGCTGTGCAGTGCACACACACACAAACACAGAGTGATGTGGCTGGGCAGTGCGCACGCACACACACACACAGTGATGTGGCTGTGCAGTGCGCACGCACACACACACACAGTGATGTGGCTGTGCGGCTGGGCAAGGGCCAACCCAACAAAGCGTGGTGGGGG